AAAAAAAAAAAAGAATCAAGCTTCTTATCTTGGTGAAAGAAACCGCGTGAGCCGGTACCTTCTCCCTGCCGCCCTTTTCAAACAAGAGTCTGCCTCTAAATGTCTTTGTTCTTGTTCTTTAGTAAGATTTCCTTTGATATGTTTTACTACACAAAGGTAAAGAAAGATTGCTAAAATAGCTACATTTTCCCCCAAAATGCCTATGCAAGATACCTTTAACTCTTAAATGGAAACAAATCTTAAAAATAAACAAATCTCAATGTTAACTCCAAAATGTTATAATGTGCTCTAAGGTAATTTTTAAGACATGTAAAGGTAAAGAATTTTTATTGCTAAAAAGAATGAAAATGCACGAAAGTATAAAGAAGAAAATTAAAATGTATTTATACTACACCAAAAATTCATTAATATTTGGATGTTCAATTCATCTATAATTATATTTTCAATTAGTTCTAAATTTCACATGCCACAGTTACAATGTGGACATTCATTTTCAGTAAGATTAAGTTTGTTAAAAAATAGTCACAGGGGAAACATCCGATTTAATCAAGTAACTAAAAATGTACTGTTTGAATTTTAACTACTTTAGTACAACGAACAAGATATTAATGAAAACATTTCATTCATATTTTCAAGTCTCATAAATTATATCAAAAGTTATCTTTTTTCTAAATTTAATTACAAAAGTAGTTTGAATTAATTCAGTCCTACTAAAATTTGTACTTTTATCAGAAGCTCTATATATAGCCCACTCAAAATTCCCATGCCTCTTAATGTGACAAAAGTTTTGAAATATAGATTAAAATATCAGTGGCAAAACAACCCGTCTCATGGATTGTGTTGCTGACTAAGTTTTTGTATGGGCAGGGGTCTAAATCTTGCTTTTGAACAATGATTTTCATGCTACTGTAAAACGGTGTAGATTGCTTTGAAAGGCTGGGCACATTTTTCTTAAACGTGAATGCACATTGTAGTCATGAAATTTCTTTTCATTTACTATGTTCCCCATGGTTGAGTGGATATGACTGGGTCAATAACCACTGTAGCATGAGGTTATAACCCAAGTGACATATTCTGTCATATTCTTAAATTAAAAATAAAAGTCATTAAATAGCATTCACAACATATAAATAATAAGTTAGCCCCATGGAAGCTGGCTTACCTGTCCATAGCTCATATTTTTATTAGTTTATTATAACTTAGCATGTGAATGGCTTTCAAAACTGCCACTTTATTCATTTAAGGGATTTACATTTCTTTGTTCTAAGAAACAATTGAAATGAAATTGATTGTGATATTTAAAAATGGATACCACTGCTCTCTGGAAGCATTGCCACCACATTAATAAGTAGGTTAGGCATGAGATTGAAAAATGTGCCTTTTCTGAAAGTCATTTATTTTCCTGGCTATGGTTAGGGTGATAGTAGCGTAAGCATTTGCACCATTTATTCCTCACCATCTGCAGTTCAAATGCTTCCAACTCACATACTATTAATTGGGTTCATGCTTTTGTAAACAAAGAAGATAAATATTTTTGCTATGGACAGGACTTTTAAGCTTCTCTTTCTTTCTTTTTTGAAACATAAGTATATGTTCTATGATTGTGAGGAAGGCTTTATTTTCAAATATTTAAACCCCATATTTACTGCATCATCCTGATTTTTTCACTTGTTCCACATAGGCAACCTCCATGTACCATATATTCTGCAGCAGTCTGTCAGGTACAGTGCCCAGAGCAAGGCTTAATCAAAGAAAAAGAGCATCCATCGCTGAAGGCCCAGAGCAGATATAAGATGAGGAGTTTTTCACTGGATCTGTGCTAGTCTCTCCCTTGTCTATGAAGGATAGAACAAAGCGAGAGAGGGGTCAAGATTGGGAGGTATCAAGCGAAACTAGCGAGCAAGATGAGGGAAGAAAGAGCTCCTTGGATGATTATCCTCAGCTCTATGACAACGGGACATACGAATATGAGGTTTACCCAGTGGTTTTCCCAGTTTCCCATGATAACTGCAGGTCCAAAGGATCGGGCGGGGTTCATACTGGCACCAGTGTAGTTGATCTGTAGGGGAAAAGAAAATAACTTGAGGCATTGCTGAAACTGGGCTAACTAGTGTCAATTTGCAGTGCTTTGCAAATTTACCTTTTGCAATGGTAACTAACTAAGGAACATGTTAAGTTGTTAGTCACCAAGTCAACATTCTTATCACCTAGTTAGCAAAATAATCACCTAAAATGGACAGTTGTGCATATGAAAGAATTATAGTTATAAAACACATCTTCAGACCAGCTGTAGGGAGAGATGAAATTGATCAATTATTTAAATGAACTTGGAAACTTACTGCAAATAAATGTCCAATTGCTACAGAAAATCCAATTGCTAAAGCTATTGAGCCACTGACATCAGTCCGTTTGGAATCACAGCTGGCGAAAATAGTAAACACCAACTGAAATGTGATTATCAACTCCACCAGGAGACCGTGACCAGCAGTAAGATTTCCATGAACCTAGAAAGCGAGAAATACACTATCTGAATTAAAACACGAATATATTTTATAGATTAACGTGTCAGTGTGAAAGACATATTTCCTCTCTGTAAAAACTGATATTTAATTCTGTTTCACCCTCAATTGAGACACCACCGCCATCGCCCGAACATGAGGAATTCATTTTCATTCATTTGGACTGTCACCGATAATGAACTACTCTTACAATGACCAAGCAGGAGTTTATGTCAAATGTCCTTTTCTTCAAACGAAGCAAAATATGCCACACCGCACTTAACTTATAAAAGAGTTTCTTGAGAGCCTTTTTATAAGGCAATGATTTTATAAGGCAATGGTTAAATCCATTAATTAGGTTTATATTAATTAATCTAAATTTCAATTAAAATTTAAACCACGTGTGGTTTTTTTAATCAACCTTGGTGCTGAGCTAACAAATGATATTCCTAATCAGCTAAGGACAAAACTAGTGTTGAATGCCAATTTATTGTTTAAAGTGTAGCCCTTGATGTAGATCATTTTAAATCTCATGAACATGATAAGAAACAAAATTAATGCTTCTGCTAGTGAACCAACAAACTAAATATATAGTCAGTGTAGTTAGTCACTGATATGAGATGGAAAAACCCTCCCAAATTTTGTGTTGCTCAGATTTGCTAATATTCAAGTCACTCAACAGTGATTTTTATATGGATACAGTCAATGTGTCTGGAATTAGTTTCCACCCCTGCAAAAGAATCACTGGAAACACCTCGTGAATAAACTAATGATTTCAGGAAGCTCTCTCAGACCCCAGGAATGACATATATTACAGTCAGCAAGGATCCTAGAATTTTTGTTTGAAAGTAAGAGTTGAAGACGCTACCGTGGTGACGCCCAAGCCCCCCACCACACTGGGAGGGGTGACGAGGTAGAGAATCCCCGCTCCTATGATGGCGCCCAGGCACTGGGCAGCGATGTAGAAGATAGACTTGGCGATGCTGATCTTCCTGGTGCACACCATGGCCACGGTCACGGCGGGGTTGATGTGGCCCCCACTGATGTGGCCGAAGCACTGCACCATCGTCGCAATGCTGAGTCCAAAGCAGAGGGAGATGAGAACCATGTCCACTGGTAAGGGGTTTTCCATCCCGCCCCAGTTGATGGTGGATCCCAGGCTGAGGAGCACAAAGATCAGCATAGCCAGAAATTCCGCAGTGACTGCTTTCCAGAAAGCTTGAGTCCAGACCCCTTTGAAGGCTACCATGATCTTCTCTCTTTTACACAGGGGCCCACACTTACTGAAAAGGAAAACAAACCAGCTGTCAGAAGCGACCTCACAGGGTTTATGAATGTATGTGAAAATGGCCAGGCCTGTAGCTTTGCCCTTCAGTGGGGAGAGATTCGCAAAATTACTTGCATGCCAAACAAGAATACTTCTGGAAAATCTCCTTAATTAATTAATTGTCTCCTTACTTGTCAGGCCATTTTATTCTTGATTTAATATAAAATTAAAGCACAAATATACTCACATTTATATTTATATAAATATTTAATATTCTAGCCCCTTGATTTACTATTCAAAGGTCAACCAGCTTCAATAGAAAACCATCTGCATTCTCTTGAGAAAGGAAAATATCTTAATTTCCTTAAAGCATTAAGAATGAAATATATTTCTCTCGCAACTAATTCCCTCAGACAAAGTTTTAAAGTTTCACTGTCCTTTTAAATGACATTTATATTTTGAACTTAATAAAAAAGAGAATTATTTCTCAGCTGCGTAGCTTATTACTCCAAATGAATTGAAACTGGATTTGTTGAGTGGGACTTCCCTACTCTTTGCTCCCAGTGTAAACACTGGATTTAGGGGAAGGGCTGCTAGGAAGTGAGGAATGTGGAAGTCTATCTTTGGAGAAGACAAATTCCTTGGTTTGGAGAGCCCATGCAACCAACACATTGGACCTGAGTTGGGTGGGACATGTTTCCCTCTCCCCTGCCAGCAGGGGGAGTGCTGGAGATAGCCAGTTAAGGGAGGCTGTACCTGCCCAGGTCCAGCCACATGGTCCTGGTCCATGTCAACCTCAGGCTCCAGGGGGAGGGTGGGTCAGTGCCAGACCTGTGCCAGGCTCCAGGGCAACAGCCAGGAAGAAAACAGAAGCAGCCCATCAGTCTGGGACCCTTGCTCCCTCTACTGAACCTCCCTGTACTCCTCACCATATAATTTCTGCCCTTCTCACCTGGGAAAGTTGTATTCTGGCTTCTGTGGTGCCTTGTGGTATTAGGGGACAATCCCACCTTGTGCCTGTCTCTCAATCAACTCCAACTTTACCCTTCGAATAAACTTCCCCAGAGAAGTCCTGGACATTGGTGTATGACAGCAGCACTCCGTGCACACTACCCAAGGCACAGGTGACAGTGGGTGACATTAGGGCAGTATAGAAGCGGGGCGTGGCTGGGGAGGCTGTGGTCCTTGAAACAGAAGGCTGCGTGGATAGTGCTTTTCCCTAATGGCATCTTGATGTCCCGCTGTCCTGCTTTTCCTTAAATGTCTGAGCGCCTCTTCTCATGAGAATGTGTGTGTGCATGTGTGTGTGTGTGCGTGTGTGTGGTGAGCAGCAGTGCAGGAGCCACTGAGATGAAAGTCACCTTCTTCCTCCCACCTGTTTTCCTAGCGCTGTCTCTGGGTCTCTGGACCTGAGTCCAGATGGGAATTGAGGATATTGATGTCAAATGCTCATCTGGCAAGAAATGGCTAGGATTCCCTTCGAGGCACAGTTACCCCAGTTACTCCATTTTTCAAGCCACTTTTCCTTATCCTTTGCGGGGATAGTCACCAGCGTGAAGGTGTGTGAAGGCAGCTGGCAGAAACACTAAGCACAGTGGGATATGAAAAGGGTTATGCAAAAAAAAAAAAAAAAAAAAACAGCACTTCAACAGATTAGCCTATTGCAGTTTTTCCTGGACATATTGCTGAAAGTGGGGGGCATCCCATGGTCCCCTCTCCAGCTCACTGCTCCCAGGAGCCTGGGTTCTGGATGGGCAGTAGGGGAATTCTGTCTCAAAGGGTTGGGAGGACGCTGGCTTGACCTTTAGGATTTCAACTCAACCTCTGGCTTGATAGGAGCTTTGCTGCAGAGTTGGAAAGAGAAAGCCATTTTCTGCCCAGCTCATGTGGGGGACAGCCAGCTCTAGCACCTGCCGCCCAAGCGGACTCCTCTGCACAAATCATGCAATTATGCAAAAAGAAAAAAAAAAATAAAACAGCTAGGAGGATAATGACATCACACTCCCACAGGAACAGAAAATAAAAAGACAAAATCTGTACTCGGAAGGAGGCAAGGCAGGCCCTGGAGAGATGTTAGAGATATCCCAAAGGGGCAAAACTCAAACAACTCACAAATTGAAAAGGTAGTTCGCAGGGGACCTCCGCGCCCGGCAGCAGCCCTTGGCTGGAACTGGGATGCAAAGGGCCAAGGTGCTAGCGTGGAGCAGCCTCCTACGGCCAGATTTATGGGGAAAAGGGAGAGGACAAAGCCGGAAGCTAAGGACACAGGTGGGCAGGAAGAGTCAGAGCCGGGCTCCTTTGCAGCAGCACCCAGGAGAGGAGGGCCCAGAGAAAGGGCCCCCCACCGGGCTGCCTGACTCCCCTCAATTTTTGCAGCCCCCCCAGCTCCCTCCTTACCCACTCTCCCATGCAGCTGTCTGCTTCTCCAGAGACCTAATTTAAGGAACTCAGTTGCTCTTTTAACTTCAAGTTTTCATCAGCCAAAGAAATTAAAACAACCCTCCCCAACAGATAAGTACACTCCTGAAGCATTTTGGAAAGCCTGCAATATCTGGTTTCCCTCCCGAGCAGAGTGCCAGCCTCAGCTGTGAACCCCAAGTTTGCTGGCAAGGTGGACATACCTCTGTCCTTACCAGCGCTCACCCCTGTGTCTCCATAGCCCCGTCACTATCAGCACTCTTCTTTCTGTGTCTACACGCCCTGGAAACATAGCGACACCATTTGTTTGGCTTCTCTCGCCCTAGCACAAAGGGGGTTTGTTGATGTGACGGGGTTGCACTGAACCGGACACGTTACTTTCTAGCTGAACACCCAGCGTGATCCACTTCTGGACAGTTGAACCTCTGGGTGAGTAATTTTTCTGATGAAAAATCCTACAGATAGATTGACCACCATAGCTTCATTTTCTGGGGGGAAAAAATGAATGCGTGCATGGCCAGAGGATTTAGCTCATATCATCCCTTTTCTTCTACCTTCTCTATGCTGCTCTTCTGATCAAAAAGAACCACCCACCTGCCTTACAGTTTCCTTCTTCGAAGATTCTCCCTGAGAAGGCACAAAGATCTGCAATAAAAGAACCAGAGTTTCATCTTCTGGCTCTGAGCTGAAGGCAAAAAAGGACTTACCCCCACCGCCTTGCCGCGGATCTGTCACTCATGCCTTCCCTGGGCAGAGTGCGGTAGCATTGCTGGCCCAGCAGCTCCCAGTGCCCAGGGAGTCAAATTACTGCCACTTGTCTGATTGGGTTTTTGGAGTGTAGGGGTGGAAAGATTTTGCACCATGTGGCAATCGCTAAGTTCTACTTGAACTTGAAATAACTTTCCTTTACCTGATCACTATAGACACAGGGCATTTCAGGAATGTAAAATGTTTGCTTACATTATGTTCCATTAACTGGTAATCCTGGAAAATGAAGACTTCCCAAGTCTTTGAGTTTTTCCTGCCAAAAAGTTGCTGGCAATAGAGCTTGGTTTTGTTCTGTGTTGTAACTGCAATTCAGCAATGAGCAAAATGTAGATATTTGTCTTATCCAGCAGTGGAAGGGAATTGGGATCTAGGCTGCAGGGCATTGGTTTTGGGGTAGTGAAGTATTCAGTGAGAGTTCTTGTTGAGGTTTTGATCTAAGATGCAGCATTTCAAGCACCCAGATAATAGCAAGTCCATCAGTAGCACCGGCAGCACTGATTTGAATACAAGGAAATAAGGAAAAACAGAAACCGTAGAAATACAGAAAAAGGGTGCTCAGCTGACTGTTATATTAATAATAATTTTTGGGTAAAAACAAAATTAAAAAATGTAGTGGTTTTATGGGGATAAATTATTGGTAACTGTAGGTGGGTTTCATGTCCAGAAACCTAGGCGCAGGAAGGACCACATCATTGTGAGCTTCAGAAAGCCTGAGAATTAGCTGCGTGTATCACCACTTCACTATTTTTCTTTATCTGGATCTCAGGCACATAGACTTGAAATTATCATAATCCTTATTTTATGACACTCTGTAAAATATGACACACAGAGTGTCATAAAAGTAGTACATATACAAGGTTCCTTCTATGTTAATTATTAACTTTTAATAATATAATAAGCATCTATGAAGTCGATGTCTAGAGCTCTGATAGTAACTGACATTTACCTATGGGCTCCTTCCCTTTCGCCCTGCTTGTCACCTGCCATCTCACTTCAAATTGGATTTATTATCAGATTGAAGTGTGGCAAGAAAGATACAGAGAAGCAAGAAGAAAAACTGTTACCCTTTCACATCTCAGTTGCAATTGTGTGTGTGTTTATTTTGTTTGATTATTTGAGACCAGAGAATTGATGAAAATCTCATGAGAACGAGAAGTTAAAATGTTGAGTGTGAATTTCAGAGTACTTCATTACTGTTTCAAGCATTCTCAGATAGCAAAGATCATATTTACATCCTTAAGTGTTTGTATGTTAATGTTTGTCCATCAGTGTTTCAATCTTTTAGAGCTCTGGTCTCTGAAAGAGTAAATTCTGATGACAGAGAAAGGGATAATGAGTGGGAATCAAAAAAGAACTCCATAAAACATTTCATGTTGATTTTTAAAGTTATTTTACCATTTGGACTTTAAAATGAGCTTCCAATAAAGGTGCAACATTTCTTTAGAAACTTGGACTTTATGGGTAGACGTAGTTGCTCTGGCCCTAAGAATATGGAGTTAAAAGTGCTTGTGAGAATCTATGAACCCAAGGAACAGTGCTACAGTGTTTAGGGCCTTTCTTGTGAATGGATCTGGAAACGACAGAGTGGCACTCCCTCGGGCCACTGGTCACTGGGTGTGTGGGGGGGCATTTTTCAGGTCTAATCTTTGCAACTTGTCTCAGGCTCCTTAGCATTCAGCCTCTAACCTTGGCAGTTCCCATCATCATTTCAAAAGTGCCAACAGCTCTTGGTTACCATAGTTTCTTAGACCCTTTCCCTTTCTTCTGGCTGGCTGATCACTGCCCTGGCAGAATGTGTTGACAGTCCAGTTCCTAAGGGACAGTTGTTCCCATCAAAGGAAGCACCACCCTAATTGGCACCAACTCATAGACTTAGAACTCTCAGCAGAGTGGTTTAAATTGGCCAGGGATTAACTCTTTGTCTTCTGGAAGTATTTTTCTTATTAAGTAATACAAATTATCCTTTTTATATTTGAGATCCTTTTGCCACACCTCCAGCCCTGTTTAACAACCAGCTACTTGTCTGATATATTTTTGGACAGGGGACAGACATTTCCAATAGAGTTGCCTCTGGTGAAGTACATATAATGTGATGGTGGAAGAAAGCAGTCATTCTGCATACATGGTGACACTGTGAGCAATAGGTGGAGGGAGCCCTGGGGAATGTAAGTAGTAGCTTCTAGGTTGGTCATTTTGGAATTGGCATGAGTCTGGGTCAAATTCATTAAAAAATGGAGTAACCTAGGCCCTCCTTGGTGGTGTAGTGGGTTAAAGCAACACACTACAAAGGTAAAGCCACTTCAGCATGAGTTCGATTCCCAGCCAGGGAGGTGACCCACATGGCGCAGCAGACCTCTTCTGACCCTCCCACTGCTCCTTCAGTGGTGTACTTCATCAATTTGCCTGCTCTGCTCCCCGCTCTGTCTCTGGTGAATCCTCTCACTGCCCTTGCACCTCTGCCTACACCCCAGTTCTGTATGCACAAATAAATTTTTTTAATAATACAATAGTTTATTTTTACATCATTTTGTACATTTTTTTTCATCTCAATTGTAATCCCCGTGGGTTTCCTATCACCGAGTCACCTGTGTGCCATCACCATAGAAACATGCACTTCCCTCCCTGCTCTCCCCCACCC